TTTATACCTGCCTCCTCCACTGACTGACACTCTAAGTTTACTGAGAAATAATTCCTCTTTGTGTCTCCAGAACTACAGTGCATTCTTTTGAATTCAGTGCTACCTGCCTTTTGAATGAACTGCTTTTAGCACTAATAGCATCAGCCTATCCCTTACTCCCAGAATACATGGGAAACCCAGAAGGTGTCTGTGAATAGTTAATTGACAAACAGGAACCATGAGGCAAGTCTGAGAACAGCACTATAGCTGTGTAGTCCTTTCAGAATGTGGTGGAGGTTGTAGTGGTTCCTACTCTTTCTGTGATTCTTAAGTTTTGTTTTTTTTTCTGCTTCAGATGCCTGTGGAATAAACTTGTCCATAGCTTGGAGACATAAAACCAGTATTTGTAAGACAAGTTACTTTAAAAAATGATGGCTGAGTTGGAGAAAGCAGAGAAGTCTCTCAGGAAAAATCACAAGTATAGATTTTATGTGTTTGGAACAAAGATGGAAGCAAGTATCTAAGTTCAGAGTCAAGGATAAAGGACCAAGGTGTGACAAGATCATAATGGTTGGAACTAATTATCAGGAATATAAGGGTGGCCAAAGAAAAATCCTTATACAAAGTCTGAACTAATTTAATCTACATTTGAAACAGCAAGTTTAGGTTGCTGATCATGAGTAGCTCTCCCCTGGGAGAGCTTCACAAGTTCTAACAGTCTGAAATCCTAGCTCATCAATATTCCTTCTTCAGTCGAAAATTTCCCTCTTTTCTCTGGTTGCTTTCTCAAGAGCTGTGCAAAAAGTCTCACCTTGCTTTATCTTAAACATTAACCAGACTTTCCTGCTTCTGGTATTCATCAAATAGGCTTTAAAAAATGCTTAACTATAACTTATTTTCATTTTCATCACCAAACTTCTCCACAGGGTAGTCAACATGCCTACCTCTATCCATTGCATCCTTGACTCTTTGCCACCGTCATGTTTCATCCTCTACCTTTGTGTTTTTGTTCATGATCTTCATGCTGCTTAGATAAACTCTTCCCTCTTTTCTCCTCCTGATCCATTTCACATGCTCTCTAATGCTCAACTCAAGAAGCACCTTCATCAGGACACCATCCATGACATATTCTTCCCTTAACATTTTCTGTTTTTTTTCTTTTCGAGTCAGAGTCCCCGCAGGCTCAGGCAATCCACTCACCTCAGCCTCCCAAGGCGATTACAGGCTGAGCCACCGAGCCCGGCTAACATTTTCACAGGTATACATTTTACAACTGCAGGCAGACTGAGGGTGGTCTTTTTTCTCCAGGTGACTCTGTAACTCAGGATGGATTTATATGTTTTACCATTACATGCATCTTAAAATGCTGATACTCTTTCCTTCCCCTGAACCAAGCTATAAACTTGAAGAGAGGATTTGTATTTTTATGGTCATTGTATCACTGGTGTCTGGGAAAGTTTGTAGAATAAACTAAATAGTAAATCGATGTTTATTAAACTGATTTTTAAAAAACTTACATCTCTAGCACTGGCCTTTCTCCTGGACTCAGGGCATGCATTTACTACCATCCTTCCTGGGAAAAACTATTAAGCACACAAACTCTAGAGACAAACTAGGAAACAACCCCAGATCTACCTCTTACTAATCATGTCATCTTGCCAACTTATTCAAATTCTATGTGCCTCAGTTTCCTAATCTGTAGAACAAGGATATGTTTTATTTATGAAAAATATATATGTTCATTGTTTATAACGTCCTTAGAAAAGAAGGTAGTAAGTAGTAAGATGATAGCAAGTAATATAAATATGTTAAAACTTAGTTGCAACCGCCTGGATAGTCCACAGCTAGCTTAAATGTTCTAAACTGATCTCTCAAACCTACTCTTCTGCCTTATTTACTTATAACAATTAATAGTGCCTGTTGTGGGCTAAATTGTGTCATCACTACCCTCCTCCCAAATTCATATGTTGAAATACTAAGACACAGTAACTTGGAGTGTGTGACCTTATTTGGAGATAATGTCTTCACAGAGCTAATCCTGTTAAAATGAGTTAATTAGGTTGAGTATTAATCCAAAATGACTGGTGTCCTTGTTCTTTCTTTTAAAAAAGAATTGTGGACACACAGACATGCAGGGAGAATGACGTGAAGAGACACAGAGAAAAGACAGCCATCTATAAGACACGGAGGGAGACTTGGAACAGCTTCTTTCCTTACAGCCCTCAAAAGGAACCAACCCTACCAATATCTTGATTTTGGACTTCTAGCCTCCCAAACTGCGAGCCAGTAAATTTCTATTGTTTAAGCCTCCCAATTAGTGGCATTTTGTTACCGAAGCTTTAGCAAATGAATACAACACTGTTCTCTTCTGGCATTCAATTTTAGAACCTCAAAATTCTCTCTTATTTTCCACCTCCTGGCCCCATGAACTCTCACAATCTGCCCTGAGTTACTCTCATTCCTGTGAACTTGCATCCCATAATCACCAGCCCCATAGTCCTTTATCTTCTCTGTCTGAAAAGGAGTGATTACTTCCTAAGGATCCTGCCATCTACAGGCTCCCTCTTATAGCAAAATTCCTGCTCATGCCATTTCCCTTCTCAGCTCAGTACTTCTAACTGCTTACTAAAGTTTATCGTTACCCTTGCATTAAATAATCTTTATCATGTGATATAATTTCATGTTTCACAGTGTGTGCTAAATTATTCCTCATGTTTTAATCCACATCTAACTACTTGTTCTACTCTGAGGATACAGTCAAGACTTGTGTCTTTGTTCATCTTGACATTTTCACTTAGCGAGTTGTTTTTGAATGTCTGCTATGTCAGGTACTGTGCTACATACTAGTAACAGAAATATAGAAGATAACATTTCTTGAGCATCAGTTAAAAGCCCACCACCTCTTTTTGAAGGCACATTATAGGATATCTCATTAATCTACATTACACTCAATCTGTTGAAGTCAGTATATTGCTCCCACTTTATTGATAACAAAGTGGAGGCTCAGACATATTGAGAAGTTTGTCCACAGCACATGACCAGAAAGTGGCTGAGAAGAGCTTATTTTATTTTATTTTTTTTGAGTTGAAGTCTCACTCGGTCGCCCAGACTGGAGTGCAGTGGCCGCTCCCGGCCAGCGCAGCCTCGACCTGCTGGGCTCCGGCAATCCTTCCGCCTCAGCCTTCCAAGTAGCCGGAATTACAGGCATGTGCTACCATGCCCGGCTGATTTTTTGATTTATTGTAGAGATGAGGTCTCGCTGCCCAGGCTGGTCTCAAACCCGTGGGCTCAGGCAATCCACTCATCTCAGCCTCCCAAAGGCGCGGGATTATAGGCTGAGCCACCGAGCCTGGCATAAGAGCTTATTTTTGTATGCTACATTCCACTACTCTTTTGTAAATTTCCACCCATGATACAAAATTCATTTCAAATACGTCTTCTCAATGAAGCTTTCTTTGATCTCCCCAGCCAGAAATAACCACAGGTGTTTCAAACTCATCTACTGCTATTTTAACACTTCAATTTTTATTGCATGTCTCTGTGTACTTGCTTTCAGTCTGCTAGAATATTTTATATATCTTAAAAGAAAGAACTGACTTCTATAAAATTTGAAATAGTGTATTATGGAAAAATCTAGTGGTTCAGTAAGATTCTCTAAATCATTTGCTAAACCCCAGAAAGTCCAAGTTTTATATTTGTTCTTTTTTTTTGTTTGTTTTTGAGTTGGAGTCTCACTCTGTCGCCCAGACTGGAGTGCAGTGGCCACTCCCGGCCACCACAGCCTCGACCTGCTGGGCTCCGGCGATCCTTCCGCCTCAGCCTTCCAAGTAGCTGGAATTACAGGCGGGCGCTACCATGCCCGGCTCATTTTTTTGATTTATTGTAGAGATGAGGTCTCGCCAAGTTGCCCAGGTGGGTCTCGAACCTGCAGGCTCAGCAATCCACTCACCTCAGCCTCCCAAAGGCGTGGGATTACAGGCTGAGCCACCGAGCCTGTCTATATTTGTTCTTAAGTTGTATAACAAAATTCTCTGTTAAAATTCTTAAAAATGGTATGATTGATAGTTTTCCACAAGTTTTACTCTTTTTAGTGATTTAAATTCTGCTTCAAGTTTTTGTATAGCACTTATATTACAGGGTGTCAAAGAACTTCTTACACTTTCTTAATTTGGAGGCCTTACAGCAGTACTTCAAGAGGTAATGGAAGCATAATAGTGAAATGAGGAAAAAAAGTATTAATCAAATAAAATCACCAAAACTAAAAACATTAACAATAAAGCCCACGTGAAAGTATGTAATGTCATGACTAGTCCTATCACTATATAATACTAAAAGCTTGAAGTAAGGTAAATAGGACTTGTCAATAATCTTATGCAAAGCAAGAGCAAGCATTTTAGAACACAGAGTTGTACCAATCACTAGAAAGTCTTCATTGCATTTTAATAAAATTTTAGAGTTCTTAACCAAATTAATAGATAAAATTACAAAATTGAGGATGCAGCTTTATAAAACATACAATAGTCATCACCTTGTAGAATTTCAGTTTTACTTCTTTGTCTTAGTACCGAGTTCACAAATCAGAAGTAACTCTGCCATATGATTTTGTAAAAGTAATCATGTTTAGGCCATAATATCCTGATTCTAGTAAATTGTTTTTCAGAAGTAAAGTTTTAACTTGCAAAAAAAATTAAGTATTTGTTAGAGAGCTGAGCACTTGTGAATTCATTCTTGAACTTGCTAGAGTCATTCAGGTCAACGTACTGTTAAACTCCTATAAGACTTCTTAAAATTTTCCTGGCTATGTGCATAAATATACATAAATACAAACCTCAGCAATTAACTGGACAGTAAGGGGTAAATGAGATGGGCAAGGAATTTAGTATGTCACCTCCATTAGTGTTAATGAGAGTTGTGTAGTCAGTTCTCTCTCATTGCTCTTAATTTTCATCTCCCCTGTTGGTCCATTCCAAAGCATTTAATTTTTACAATCTGCCCCCACCCCTTGAAAATTTTTTACTTACCTCAGTAATGAAGGACTTGGCCATGGCTGGATTCATAACAAGGATGGCACGCCTAAGAGTGTCTCGATAGCGATTCAATTCTTCTATTCTCATGGTATCAAAGAGAGTGGTGATCATTTTATTGATGTTGTTTTCTACTTTCTGAAGTGCAACATCCATCCCCTGCTGGGATACTTTGTCCAAAAACTCCTGTATTCCACGGATATCTAGAAACATCAAAAGCCCATCAAAATGTGAATTTTAGCTCAGAAGGGAGACAAATGCTGTTTCACTTATATCAGAATAGTGTATTGATCCCCATCGCAGGCTGTCTAAAATTACTAATTGAGTAGTAAATGAACTCTTAAATATGTTTAAGGTTTGGTTTGATTCAATGTGTTACGTGAAAAAATGTAGGAATTATTATTTTTAAAATGAATTTATTTTAGTTCACATACATTCCAAATTACCTCAACACTGGAATGTTTGGTCAGGATGTAGGGAGGTATTTGAGGAGAAGCCTCACTTTTCTCAATATGAGATTAAGTAAAACATACTCCTTATTTTCTTCAGCAATAAAGAGTAACCTCAAGTAAAACATGAATATCATTGATTTGAGATGAATCTGAATCAAGATTACCAACATTTCTTAAAATAGGCAACAGTATCACTAACCTTGAATTTTATCATCTAAATGGGGAGTTTTGAGAGCTTATGTTCAATAGATCTCACATCACTTAGACCATAAATAAAATAGCTGCATTTTTGTCTGCCTTATGAGTATTACCACCTTAACTCAAACCTGGAAAAGTTGGTAGGATATAGTTTTCTTTTTGAGAGTATAGAGAAAGTACTTTATATGTAAAATATGTTTCAAAATATATTTCAACATTTTAGAACATGTTAAACATTTTTGAGTGTATGATGATTAGTAAATTATTTACATACTAATTCCAAAATAAGCAAAGTTCAGGAAAGTTATAAAAAGTCCAGTGTTCACTTCACTTTATTTAAATAAAAAAAATAAAATTCAGTCTAAACTGTTTACCTATTTGTACTTTGGTGTGTATTTAAGTAACAATAATTGTCTGAAATGTTACAGACGTTTCTTCCTAGTAGGACCACATTGGTTGTTTATAGAAGAGGATATCTGAAATAAGTATAATTAGAGAGTGTATATGGCGTAGTATAATCTTAATATAGCAGATTTGCTTTACTATATCATATTTTATTGTATATCCAAAGCATAAGTGTTTTAAAAATTGGAAAAAGATAAGCAAATAAGATTATAGCGAATGAATTAATAAACTATATCTTAAAATTCCTAATTGTGTGTAATTGTATGAATATAAAATTTGCCTCTCATTGGCAATGATTAATTTATATATTTTTTATATATTGACAATTGAAATCAATAAATAAGCTCATAGAATAAAACAACAATATTGCCAAAAATTTGTAAACTGACATTTATGCTTAATAAAAATTAATATTTGCAAGGTTACAAATTAATTTTTTAAAAAACCCTTTCCTTTCTTGTCATGATTGCTTTTATTTTTTTTTTATTATTTTTTTTTTGAGTTGGAGTCTCACTCTGTCGCCCAGACTGGAGTGCAGTGGCTGTTCCCGGCCACCGCAGCCTCGACCTGCTGGGCTCCGGC